AGCACAGAGCAGTTGGGGAGAATGGGTTTATACGGCTATCCTGCAACTTCCACATGCTAAAGATAGCACAGAGGTGCTGCACACACAGACAGATGGACCCAAGAGACAGGCAGAGAGGGGGGACAGAGAAATAAATGAGGCAATGTAGATAATTTTAAGAGTTTGACAAGGTGTCCTGGGCTCTCAGAGCTCAACCATCTGTCTGAAATAGGCTAAGGTTTGTAGGCAACATACTTACCAACATGGAGCTGATATTGACTGACTGCTACATCCAGGCTAGCATAGGCTAGTGGTAGGGATGTGGACTGGAGTCACTAACTGTTCAGGAAAGATGGGCGTCACAACTTGACATGAGCCAGACAGAGCTGGAAAGAGGAGAAAGGATTGACCTGAAGGCCGCACGGTCTGGTGGGAAATAATCTAAGTCTAGGAAGCATCGGGCCAGGACACAGTGGGGACAGCCCAGTGATGTCTGCTGACCACAGACAAAGTCAGTTATTCTGGGGGAGAGGAGAAGGGAAGGGAGGACATGCTGCTGGTTGTCTCCTTTGAACCAGGGAAAGCCAGGAGGCTGAAACCTCTGGCCATGGAACTGATAGTTTTCAGTGCTGGGAGCTGGGGTGCTCACTGGGAGCAATGGTGGAACTGAGAGTGACTGCACTGAGGGATCATCGCGAAAAGGCTCACCAGTGAGCATGCCTGCAGAGGTATTTGATTATCTTAACTGATATGGAGAGACCCAACTCTTTAGGGCAATGCCATTCTGTAGGCTTCGGTCCTAGACTGCATAGGAGGGAAGAACTCTAGTAGATTGCAAGCAAGCTTAAATGCATGCATTTATTTCTCTCTGCTCTTGACTGTGGACATGGATGAGTAGCCGCTTTGTATTTGTGCCTTGACTTCACTGTGATAGTGGAACCTGGAAGTTACATAGTGAACGTAGTGCAAATGACCATAGAACAGTTTTGTTCTAGATCATCACACTGACATCCCAGGGATACCAGGTGACAGATCTGATGGTTTTCTTAGCTCAACAATATCTTCTTTGAGCTTGGCTCCCCACTGGTGGTCTTTTGTACCCAGGGTACACTGCCTAAGGTGTTCCGACAAGAGCTAAGGAATGCCTGTCAGTGCATGGCGCGTGTCAGGTGTCAGCAGGGAGGAGCTTTCAGAGGCCCTGAGCCTCCTCCAGGAGTGACCTTCCAAGGAGAAGCAGTTATGAGAGGAAAGCCCGTGAGCCTCTTCTTGCTGCTCTCCCCGCCATTCCACTGAGGGAACTTGTCCCCAGCACCCTGACTGAAGCACGGGTGAAGAGCACGGATCCCCAGATTTCTCCCACTTAAAAAATAGCCAGTGATCTGAAAAGACAGGACGTCTGCCCAAGTGGTCCTTTGCCAAGTCCCATCTTCAGAGGGATTCTAGGTCTGGGCATTGAAAGAAATGGCCTATGTCACTCTGCTCAGTGCAGGCCGAGGGAGAGAGAGGCCGGCACATGTTTACCTCTATACTAGAGATGGTGCTGCTGATGAGAATGAGGGTATTTGACTTAGCCATGATGGCCTCCTGTCCTGCACACGGAGACCATGGCCTGCCAGGGGGCCACGTGCACCAGGAAGTGTGAGGGAGAAGTGAGAAGATGGAAAACCACAGAATGAGAAGGACGGTGATTCCCAAGAACCCTGGACATAAGCAAGCCCACACCTTCCTGAGGCCCTGACAATGAACAGATAGATCCTGAAGGAAAATGAGGGCCCAGACAAAGGGAGGGATTATCCTCACAGGGAGTCACGGTGGACAGAGTGCAGGCAATGGCCGTTCAGAGAAGACAAGGTAACTGAAGATGGAAGCAGAGAACACTGTGTCCTCTAAGCTAATGGATGATCACGAGGTCTTCACTGGTGAGAGACAGAGAGATCCAGGTGCCCTGTCTGGTGCAGGTTCTTGGCATCAGGGACGTCCGGCTGCTCAATGCACTGTATCAGTGGGTTCCCTGTTTCCCACACAAAACATCTATGGAGAAGGCAGCCGGGACCTGCAAGTTAAACACTGCAGGGATCACTTTAATGAAGAGGAAGGCAGCTCTGCAAACTGAGGATGAGTGTGGGAGGCTTCAGGTTGAAAAGTTCATGACCCCACACCGCAAACACACCCCCATGTTCAAAGAATGAAGAACAGGTCCAACCAGAGGGATCTGAAAGGTCCCTGCAGGAGACATGCCACTCAGGGACTCAGGGATCCCAGTCAGTACCGGGGGGGGGGGGTCTTCTTTTTCCAAGAACTACCATTAGTTTGGGGCAGGGCCAGAAGGAACCTGGGGATTTGGGGTAAGTACACTTCATGGGACCTTCCCATCTCCCTCACCTGGTCTTCCATGTCAACTCTAGGCACTGTCTTCTCTGACAGAAATTTCCTCATTTGAAGCTGGAAAACTCATGTTTTTTAGTACATGGCCAAGCTTTTGGCAGCAGGAGCAACAGCAACGATTTTAGGGAGTTCCAGGACATTGGTCCTGACACACAGCATACAGACACAGTGTGACTTTGTGTTCATTCTGCCCTTGGCAGCCAGGAATAGGGACCTTGGTGCACAATTCTTTGATGTGACTCCAGCCCAGAATGTCCCCATCAGGGCAGCCTCACAGTGTCTGCCTCCTTTGCTGAAGTTCAGACCCACAGGCGGTGACATCTACAAAGACCGTGACAGTAGGTCAGGGTAGAGAGGATTTAGGGTGCGCATCCAACTGCCCTACTCAGTGTCTTACTGTCAGATTAAAAAGAAGAATCCTGGATAGTGACAGGTCTTCTCGAGGTGACTGAGTGTCTGGGTGGGACAGAAAGAATCAGGGGCTGAGGATGACCCAGTTCTAGGAGGACTGCCAGGTGACACATTTGACCTGGAAGAATCCCTGAATCTGAAACTCCTACAGGTATACGTGAAGAATGGTGAGACCTCATAGCAGGAACATGGCCCCTTAGTGCTGAGAGTCCACCATTGACACCCTCTCAGGCTGGATTCTAGCTCCTATCTTTCCCACAGTTCTGCCCCCTCCTCTGCCTTTCTCACCAGCAGCAGAAGAGGAGGGCATACTGTAGGCCGATGGCCATGTTGGAATTATCAACACTCTCGGGGCCTGGGAGCCAAGAGAGACTTGAAAATACCATTTAGTCAAAAGTTAATGAGAAATTTGCATTCAAAGTCCACAGACACTTCACTATCACAGAGAGACATAAGGAGCAGGCATCAGTGCTGGCAGCCCGTCACATGGCTGTTCTGAACACCATCCATCTCATCCCTTCTTTCCTCCCTGGGTCTTCCCAGCTGTGACCTTCACCCAAGACAGTCTTTTCCTGCACCCTGTACTACCCTGAACCCTTTCAGGTCCCTTACTCTATTTAACTGTATTCATGTGCACTTACCTCACCAGCTTGGTCTTCCTGATGATCCTGGACCCTGCCAGCATCCCAGCTCCTTGGTGCAGCTTGACCATCAGACTAATGATCCTGGCATCCAGCCCCTTCTGAGGGCCTGACACACCGCCATGTTTACTGAATGTCAGCTGACAAAAGAACAGCTCACGCCATTGCACAAAGGCAGCCAGAAGCTGTGGTCACATGATCTTCACTCTTACTGCTTGGAGGTAAGAATGGAGTCGGGCCCATGGAGGGGAGGATTGATACCAAGATGCTCCAGGAGGCCTGGAGCAAGCACAGCCCAGGGAGTGAGGAACAGGCTGCATGGCTAGAATTATGAGCTCAGCTCTGTCTGACATCCCACACCTGGAACAAAATCCCAAGGTCATGCAGGGACAGTGGTCATAAGGCCATGCACTAAAGAGTCTGGAGAGGACCTCCTGCAGGCTTTTCAGGTCTAGAAGACTGAGAACGAAAGCTGAAGGAGTTCAGGGAATAAGATGTCACCTTCTTGGTGACAGAGCTGTCACTACGAGGACACCAGTGAAGAACGTGGGTCTGAAGAGGGGATTAGTGTTTTCACTGTCTTCTTCTCCATTGCAGCTGCGCCTCACAATGTCTTCCCTTTCAACCTCCTCCTGTCAAATCTTTCTTGTCTTAGTGCCACCATAGTGACAGTAGAACCCAGAAGGGCAGACTGGGGTGTGTTTACATGGAGCCAGGTGAATCAGCATTTCATCTCAAAGAGCAGAATAGCTTTGTCAACAATACTGTGTGTAGACACAAGGTCTTCTGTGTTAGATGGTGACAACGTCCCAGCTCAGGTCATCCTTCAATGGCAAGGCCCTCCAGAGACTGCCCACATCCTGATCGTTCATGCAGACAGACGAGGACAGAGATGCCCCAATCCTCTCTCTAACTGGTTCTCCCATCATCTGGAAGAGGGTTAGTTGACCATGGGGAGGAATTGTCTTATGGACAATGCATGAAAGAAGGGAGAGAAAAAGGGGCTCCATTAGTGTCCTATGAGAAGACTATTGTTATGGTCTTCAGATGGAGGGCTTGAAGTCATTCTCACAGACCGTCTTCCTGTTCATCAGGTGCTTAGGATGGCTATCACAGCACCCTCTGTACTGGAAAATGGAGTTAGTTCGCCATGAAGAGTCCTGTGGCGCTGCAATCTATCACCTTCCTGTGTTGGTCGGTGTCCATAGACTGGGCATGCTGCCTGAGATACTAAGCATCCAAACTCTCATCCTCAGATGTTGCTGTCCAGACCTGCCTGACGCCCCACTCTTAGCTATAAGCACCTCCATCTGTTTATCTGAACTGCTGGGAGACCTCGAAGTGACCCCTTTAGTCTTGACCACAGTCCGTCTGCCAGGCACCAGATCATCACATTGATCCCATCTGGACATTTGTTCCCCATGCACAACAGCATCCGCTCCCTTCTCCATCCCTTGCTCAGGTCAGGAAATTTTACTTCGTGCTTCCGGCCGAGTTCCGTTACAGCCATGCATGAGCTTCAGCTACAATAATCCACTTTTTTTTTTTTTTTTGTAGTTGGAGACCTAACAACTAGGAAATAAATCCATGATACCACAGGGACATAGGTCATGACCCTTCTGACAAATCCCTCATCCAGACTTCTCAGATTTGGAAGACTTAGGGTTGGAAAAGGGATAAATGCTTAGTAGGTAACTCTGTCTCTTAAGGGCATGCTCCCAGAATGCTGCTGTGGAGAGGCCTCTGGCCCTGCAAACATCTGCTCTAGACTGGGCTTGCAGGGCACACAGGAACTGAGTATCCAGCTCGTCCCCCTCATGTTGGCCTTGACACTGTGATGTCAGGCCTTGTGAGCTCAGCACACTCTCTCTGCCTGTGCAGAGGAACTGTAGGGAGACATTGGATTGGCCCCTTTGTGGATTGACCATTGTCACTTTGCCAGTCACTGGATCCCTAAGCAGAGTCTTCCAGTCTGGACATCTGTTCCCTATGGACAACAGATCAACATTCCCTGTCCCATTACTGATCCCAGTTTTGCTGCCTCTTGCTAGTCCAGCTGCATCAGATACCACCTGGAGGATTTTTTTCCTGAGGAGGTATGCTAAGTTCCAGGTTTCAATCCAGATTGTGTAGACATCTGAACAACCTATGGGATACCACAAACATACACAGTTTTGATTTTTCAAAGGAAAAATACATGGTGAAAATTAAATATAAAATACATATGCATCATCTCGTACTTACTTGACCAATTCCTCACTGGGTCTGCCTCCTGACTCTTTCAAGGGAGCCACTTTGTGTTGAACACTCATTGGGTTTGTGGATTTGAAGCCCTTGGGAAGCAACACAACCTTGAGAGGCAAGCCCTGATTCTCCTGCACAGTCCCCTGAAGCACCCGATGTTCTGAGGGGGGCATGATTTCTCCATGTTAGAGTCAGGTCCAGGTGGGAGGGGCATTTCTTCTTCTAACCTGCTGCTGCAGGCACATGGGGCAGATGCAGCCTTGGTCAGTGAGGCAGAGCTAGAAGTGGGGCTTTTCTGGGGACAGCACAGAGGCATGGAGGCACTTCTGGTCATCTTCTGCCCTGATAGTGTCGGGACATCAGGCAGGTGCTGCTGTGAAGGCTTGGTGTGGAAAAGGCCAAAGGTGGGCTCACTGGCTCTTCTTTTTAGGTAATGACCAGATGTTAAAGGAAGTACCGGAGATGGTGGAGGTGCAGGGTCAGGGTCTACCATAGTGACTGAGGGGGAGTCAAGCCCCTGGTGTAGCTGTTCTTCTAGTATCAGGTATGTCCCCATTATCTCATCATATTTCCGCTTCTGCAGTGAATCAAAGATCTCGTTGGCAGCAAACCCATGGTCAAACAGCTTGTCAATAATTTTAGGATCTGGGTAGCGGTCACTAGAGATTTTTTCTTTAGGGTTCTCGACCCATGGATGATTCTGAAGGTCTTCAATGGAGGGCCTCTTCTCTGGGGCAACTGTTAAAATTTGGTGTATGAGATTTTCAAGTTGCCCAGAGATGTGAGCTGGGATGTCATACACTCCACTGGTGATGTTCTTTTCGGTCTCTTCCAGGGTGCTTCCTCTGAAGGGGTGGTGCCCAGTGGTGATAAAATAGAGCAACACACCCAGACTCCACATGTCTGCCTTCCTCCCATCGTAGCCTTCCCCCAGAACCAGTTCCGGGGCATTGTAGCTCTTGGTCCCACAGCGCCCCTGCAGCACAGCGCCAGCTCTGCATCTGATAGCAAGGCCAAAGTCTCCCAGCTTCACATTTCTCTGTGCATCCAGCAGGATGTTGTGGGGCTTCAGGTCTCGGTGGACGATATCATGGTCATGGCAGCACTTTATGGCTGACACGAGCTGCCCGAATATTATCTGTGCCCGGTCCTCCTGCAGCCTGCCTTCTTCTTTGACCAGTTCGTACAGATTGCCTTCCGATGCATATTCAGTAATTATGTAGCAGTATTTTGTGGTCGTTAAAACCTGGAAGAGGCGAATGATGTGTGGATGTTGCACGGTTTCCAGTGCTGCTATCTCTGATATTACGAGGTGCAGGTGTTTCTTCAGATTTTCTACAACCTTAATTGCGACGGGCATACCTGTGAGGCGATGGAGGGCCAGTTGTACAGAGCCAAATCCACCCTTGCCGATGGTGTACAGCATTTTGTATTGCCTGTTTAGGCCCCCCTTTCGGGGGAGGCGGGCCATGAGGCTTGGTGTTTGCTGGCCTCCTGTCCAGAAAGGTTGTGTCAAAGATCAAATTAACAACTCCAATTAAGATACCAATGAAGGAGTCCCACAGGTCACCGAAATCAGCTCCCTGGTCTGTTGGGACAGAGATGCAGCCCAGGCTACAGCCTTATATGCAGGCCACTCATTCTTCCATCTCAGTGGCTGTTTGTGAGGTCAGAGCAAGAAATGGACCAATCGCAGCAGGCGGTAGCCTACAGCGATTGTCTCCATGTTGGGCCACAGGTACCTGTCCCCTACTTATGAAAATGCAACTGGCGTCCCCCAGCTTCTGCTTCAGTGGATCAAAGAGACAGACAGATGCTTACTCGTTTAGAGATTCCAACCAGCACAGTGGCAGTGGCCTTTGTAACTGCATCCTGAGGACCTCAAACTGTGTCTGGCCCTTTAAGGATGAGGTGCAGTTTGAACAGGTATCCTACAAGGGACAGAGTCATTAGCAGATTCTGTGAAGGCCATGTTTTCAGTCTTCTATTCTTGGGGGAATAAAGGGCATGGGCATGGGGAGCTCTTGGTCACTATCCTGAACTTGTTAGTCCTAGTCCTGGTCCAGGGGCTTGCTTCCGGTGTGATGGAACAAGGAACTTTAAGTGTGAATGTTCAGAAAGTAGAAGGCAGCCCCCCTGGGGTCTCTTGGGCGTGGAGTTATTTTCTTCTTTAGGAAGCAGTGGTAGTTGGAAAAAGAGGGCTCTAGGCTGTTTTTGTACCTGTTCATCTCATGGCGCCCTGGGCAACCACTGTGGTGACTCAGCTCCTTATAGAGAGGAAATCTGATTCTCTTGTGATCCTGAGTGTTGATTGACCAGGGACTATCAGGGCAGCTGTAGACCACGGTTGCTCCCTCTCATCTGCTTTTCGAGCCATCTCCAGTCAATCCTATCTCATGTTCTTGAGAGTCTCTATTTTGGGGACGGGATCTTGCCTCTGAACCAGATTTTAATCTCTTGCTGTCTTTGAGACAAACATCAACTAGTTCATAAGGAGTGGTGGGAACTGAGAGACCAAAGTAAAATGTCCACTCTGTCCTGACTCATCCTCCCAATCGTGAGCACACCTCCTCCTCCTGAAGGAAGGGACTAGGGCACTCCATGGCAGTGGGACCAGCATTCATGTGCTTGCTGTCCCCCACCATGACCAACAGCATCTTAGGGAGGAAAGGGTTTATTTAGCTTGTATATCCCAATCAAGGCCCACCACTGAAGAAAGTCAGGGTAAGGACTCAAGCAGGGCAGAGGCAAGAGCCCTGGGGTAAAGGTAGCTTGCTCAGCTTGCTTTCTCATATGAAATAGGACCACCTCTCAGGGCTGCCCCTCCCCCCAACAGCGGGCTGGTAGAGCCTCATCAGTGATGAAGGAAGTAGTCCATGGACATGATCACAGGACAAAGTGATGGAGGCAATTTCTTATCGAGTTTCCCCTCCCTCTGTGTCTCACTTGTGTCAGGTTGGCAGAACCAACCAGTGTTGTGATCCAGCTGCCCTCACTCCCCCTGACCGGCAGGGGAACTTCCTTGTGGTCTGTAATGGACAAGGATGTTTGTGTTCCTTCTGGCCGGTGGGTCTCCACAGAAGCAGTAGAGGTATAAAAGGTTGCTGGGCAGACTAAAGGTTGCTGTTCTTCCACCTGAAAAGAAGCCTCTGTGTCCCAGTCCTGGCACCCCTCTCCAGTCTTGGCTATCCAGGCTGCGCTGGCTGCAGCAAACCAGTACTCCTGCCTGCTTTGTCAGAGACTACTTCCTTCCTGTTCTGCATACTGAGAAGTGACAGGGACTCTAAGAAGTTGGTGGCTCCAGGATCAAGGGGGCTGGGAACAAGTTCCCTCAGTGGAATGGCGGTGAGAGCAGCCGGAAGAGGCTTGCAGGTTTTCCTTTCATAACTGCTTCTCCTTGGAAGGTCACTCCTGGAGGAGGCTCAGGGCCTCTGAAAGCTCCTCCTTGCTGTCACCTGACACGTGCCATGCGCTGACAGACATCCCTCAGTGCGGCACACCACGTCCATCTGCGCTCCATGCGCTACCATACAGTTCGTGAACTGGGCAAGGGGCTGGAGATTGAAATACACAAAGACACACAGAGACATGGGTCATCCTTGATGCCAGAATGTCCCCCTTTATTGTCCAGGGACAGCTTATATAGGGATCCTTAACTGATAGCCACGACCCAGCCAAACCCACCAGAAACCACTCCCCTCCCATCAGGAACTTCTGAGGGTCTTGTGCTCAGAGCAGCTGCAAGCATTACAAGTTGTTTACCAGAAAATCAGGATCTGGGGGTTCAGAACTCCTTAGGCCGTGTACCCTGGGTGCCACAGCGCACCAGTTGGGAGTCAAAGCTTAAAGATACTGTCAGACTAAGAGAACCATCAGGCGTCTGTCACCTGTTACCCCTGGGTGTCAGTGGATGATCCGGAACAAAGCTCTTATACTTTCTTTGCCATTGTGCAGATGACACTTACACTTCCGGGTTACACTGAGTTATCAGAGTGAAGTCAAGGGACAAATGCAAAGCGGTCACTCATCCATATCCACGGTCAAGAGTAGAGAGAAATAAGTGCATGCATTTAAGCTTGCTTGTGCTCCACTAGAGTTCCCCCTCCTATGCAGTCTAGGACCAAAGCCTGGAGAACAGCCCTGCCCGCTGGAGAGGTTGTGGGGAAAAGGGAACACTTCTGCATTGCTGGTGGGAATGCAAGCTGGCACAACTTTGATGTCAGTGTGGCGATTTCTCAGAAAATTAGGAAACAACCTTCCTCAAGACCCAGTAATACTACTTTTGGGTATATATCCAAAGGATGCTCAATTATGCCACAAGGACATGTGATCATCTATGTTCATGGCAGCTTTGTTTGTCATAGCCAGAATCTGGAAACCTAAATGCCCCTAGATCGAAGAACGGATAAAGAAAATGTGGTACATTTACACAATGGAGTACTACACAGCAGAAAAAAATGACAGCTTAAATATTGCAGGAAAATGGATGGAGCTAGAAAACATTGAGTGAGGTAAGCCAGACATAGACAATTATCACATGTACTCACTCATAGGTGATTTTTAAACATAAAACAAAGCCAGCCTACAAACCATAATCCCAGAGAATTTAGACAACAAAGAGGACACTAAGAGAGACTTACATAGATCTAATATACATGGGAAGTAGAAAGTAGAAAAAGACAAGATCTCCTGAGTAAATTGGAAGCATGGGGACCTTGGGGGAGGATTGAAGGGAGGGGAGAGGCAGGGAGGGGAGCAGAGAAAAATGTGGAGTTCAATAAATATCAATAAAAATGTATAAAAAAGAGTTGGGACTCTCCATATCAATTAATATAATCAGAAAGGCTCACAGGTGAGCCTTTTCTAGATGATTCCTCCATGCGGACTGGAGTCCCAGGTCACTCTCAGTTCCACCATTCTCCCACCCCAGTGAACACCCCAGCTCCCAGCACTGAAAACTATCAGTTCCATGGCCAGAGACTTCAGCCTCCTGGCTTTCCCTGGTTCAAAGTGGACACCCAGCAGCATGTCCTCCCTTCCCCTCTCCTCTCCCCCAGAATAACTGACTTTGTCTGTGGTCAGTAGACATCACTGGGCTGTCCCCACTGTGTCCTGGCCCGATGCTTCCTAGACTTAGATTATTTCCCACCAGACCGTGCTGCCTTCAGGTCAATCCTTTCTCCTCTTTCCAGCTCTGTCTGGCTCATGTCAAGTTGTGACACCCATCTTTCCTGAACGGTTAGAGACTCCAGTCCACATCCCTACCACTAGCCTATGCTAGCCTGGACGTAGCAGTCAGTCAGTATCAGCTCCATGTTGGTAAGTATGTTGCCTACAAACCTTAGCCTATTTCAGACAGATGGTTGAGCTCTGAGAGCCAAGGACACCTTGTCAAACTCTTAAAATCATCATTGCCTCATTTATTTCTCTGTCCCCCCTCTCTGCCTGTCTCTCAGGTCCATCTGTCTGTGTGTACAGCACGAATGTGCTATCTTTAGCATGTGGAGATTGCAGGAAAACCCTATAAATTCATTCTAACGGCTTTGTAGATTGCACTCTGTTGCTTCTTCCTCCAAATGTTTTTGCAGGTGGAGGCCCTGATGGACACGAAGCAATGCCAGCACTTGCTGGAGAAGTCAATGACAGCTCTGAGGTGTGGGAGCCTTGGCCTTGGCCCACACATGTGCTGCTTACTGATCTTATGAAAGCAAGAGTTTGTATTGTCCAGTATCAGTGTTGTGTGTAGCCCACCATACCCGTTGGCGCTCCATGCGCTACCATACAGTTCGTGAATGGGGCAAGGGGCTGGAGATTGAAACACACAAAGACTCATAGACAAACATAAGTCATCCTTGATGCCAGAATGTCCCCTTTATTGTGGTCCAGGGCAGCTTATAGAGGGATCCTTAACTGATAGCCACTCCCCAGTCAAACCCACCAGAAACCACTCCCCTGCCATCAGGAATTTCTGAGGGTCTCGTGCTCAGAGCAACTGCAAGCATTACAAGTTGTTTACCAGAAATTCAGGATCTGGGGGTGGGGAGGCTGCCCACAGCTCCCAACAGTTGTGTATTCCTTTCCTCCTCAGAGACTGGAACATTCAAGCCTGCAGGGAAGCTCTTTAAACAGGAAGGTTAGCAATTCAAAACAGCTTCAGGAAGGAACTCTCTGAAACTGGCCAAATTCTGTCTCTCCTCCTCAAGATGTAAACAAGCCAAGTTTCTCTGAGTTCCTCTCAGACAAGACAAGCTACAAAGATGACTCTGAGACCAGACCAGCTACCTGGTAGAAGCAGAAAACAGCCTTGCTGCTTGGAAGAGGCTTAGACCAGCTAGGACTCAAAGGACACTCTTCTACCTGGGGAGCTGTGGCAGGCTGTGCAGTGTGCTCCACATTCCCAGCTCTTGCGAGCTTGTCACCGAACCTGGGGCGGCCTTTGGTGGTGCAGCTGTCTTTGAATCACTGATGCACCTGTACGTCACCTCTCACCCATATTCCTGGAAACAATGCCCATAAAGCTCATTGGCTCACCAAGCTGGACGTGGTGGCATCTGTATTTGGTCCCTCGCAGGCTTCCTATCTGGGGTGAGGAGCCATGGATGTTGCATCTTCCAGGGAACGGATTAGTCACCAAGAGGTGGAAAGGCATGGGAGGATAGACAGAGTGGTTATGGGAGGGGAAGTGGTGGTGATGTCTGGGGTCTTTCAGGCACCGTTCACCCGTCTGAATGTAGGGAATCTTAACATCTATGTCCTGCAGATGTCCTGGCAGCCTGTTGAGCCGGACGCAAGCTTGTCTACAAAGCAGAAATAGCAGTTGGCCTTCTCATCCATTACCTGGCAACAGCAGTGAAATGTACAAGGTCAGCCGATTTCAAGAGTAGTTTATTGAAACTACTAGGGTGCTTGCATCCTAACGGCATCATTGCCTTTTGTCTCTCAAGCACAAGGAGTTTAAACTTTTAAACATAATGTTCGTCATCACAATGGGAGTATTTGGTGGAGAGGGTGATGAATATGGTCAAAATACATCATCTGAAATTCTCAGAGAATTAAAATTATATTTTAAAAGAAGAGAAAGCAGCTAATACTGGCAAGGATGTGGACAACAGGGGCCCTTACACAGTGCTAATGGGACTGTAAACTAGTGTGGCCACTGTGAGAGTTTGTACACGTTTCTCAAAACAAAACACATTGGAAATAAATCATCCATATGACCCAGCTATGCTCCTCCAGGATATTCACGCAGAGGACCCCAACGTACCACAGAGGTCTTCACACCTGTAGTCACTGCAGCACTAAGTACAAAAGCCAATTAGGAAACAAGATAGCCCTGGACAGAGGCTTAGACAAAGAAAAGGTGCTGTCCATACAAGATGGGATTAGAAGTATGCCGTTTTCAGGAGAGTGAACCCAACTGAGAATGGTCCCATTACGTGATTAAGCCAACTGCAGTCCTGGATCCTATATACGTACACCAAAGCTCTACATACATGGCACAGTGCTGAAGTAACACTGTGGAGACAGTGGGGACCACAGGGAGGAAAAGGAGTGTAGATAGAGTGTTGTAGTTGGAGGCTGCCAGAGAAAGAACACCACAAACTTTAAATTGAAAAGACTACAGTGTTGCTGCCGCACTCCTCTGCCAGGCTGGGGCTGGTGCACGAGGGAAAGATGCGGGCTGCAGTTTCTAAAGGCACAGCGCACAACTGTCTTAGTTCTGGGGATGGTTTCCTATGTGAGGCATTGTCATGGGTTTTGTTTGTTTGTTTTGTTTTTCTTAGCAAATAGCATTTAAGTGAGATCACAGAAACAGAATGAGTGCTTGGTTAGTATTTTGGGATAAAATTATAAAACAAGAGAGGGGAACATTTTGGGAGATGAGCCTGGGGCTCTGAGACCAGTCAGCCCTTTAGATTGCTGTCAAGACTCAGCCGCTGATGAGAATGACATTTGGGTGTGGCCCACTCATCCTGTGGTTAATAATCCTTAGGCTAAGCATGGGCCCTACTAACTCCTAGGGCTTTTCTTGTTTGTTTTTTACTCAGTAACTTAGTTTACAAATCAGTTTACCCTAAGTCCAGTCAAAGAGAGGGAAGAGCAATGATATGACCAAAGGCGTCGAGACCATGATGGGAACACTCACTGAAATAGTTAAGGGAGCTCAATGACTCTGGACAAACAGCGGGGGAACCAACATAAGATCAAACTAGGTCCTCTGAATGTGGGTGAGAGTTGTATGGCTGGGGCAGACTGTGGGGCCACTAACAATGGTGCCAGGATTTATCCCTATTGCTTGTACTGGCTTTTTGGAGCACATTCTCTTTGGAGGGAAGCCTTACCCAGCCTCGATATAGTGGGGAGAGCCTTGTGCAACACTTTGTTGACTTCCCATGGGAAGCCTTACTCTCTCTGAGGAGTGGATAGGGAGTGTGCGGAGGGAGTGGGAGGAGGGGAGGGAGTGGAAACTTGGATTAGTATATAAAATCAGAAAAGATCGTTTTTCAAAAAATTAATAAAAAAGAAAATTCAGTTTAAAATGGAACTAGATTTTAACCATTACAATAGTGATATACAAGGAGGAAAACAGTCAACATGTATACATACACAAAATCTTTTATTAAACTTTGGGAGCTGGAGAGACCCCATGGGTAAGAGCTCTCATTGCATTGCAGAGGACCTGGTTTGGTTTCCTGTAACCACATGGTGACTAACAGTCTCTAACTCCAGTGAGGTCACTCATTAAGACTATATTGGAGGACTGGAGAGATGGGTCAGGAGTTAGGACACTGGCTACTCTTCCAGAGGACTTCCTGGTGGTTTACAGCCATCTGTAAATCCAGTTCCAGAGGATTCAGCGCCCTCTTCTGGCGTCCATGGACACTACACCCAAATGGACCACAGACATATTTACTATAAAAAAATAACTCTTGTTTTAACATCAGTCTCCTAAGTAAGACCCCATGCCAATGAGGGTGATAACAGTTATGTGGCAGGGCCCTGGCTGGCAGGCAACTTTGGCTCTTGCTTCTGGCACAGTTTCTGGCTTGAGCATGGCAGGTACTGTTGTTTCTCTGGCAAGAGTCAGGTGAGCTTAGGGAAGAGTCTAGACCAGGTTGTCCTGGGTCGTGGGGATCACAGTTGGAAACCACGAGGATCAAGCCAGGAAGCAGCACCCTCCATGGCCTCTGCGTCAGCTCCTGCCTCCAGGTTTCTGCACTGCTTGGCTTCCTGGTGTGAAAGTGGAGGCCAAAGAAACCCTTTCCTCTCCAAGTTGCTGTGGCCATGGTGTTTCACTGCAGCCATAGACACTAACTACGACAGACGTCATAATCACCGGAGACTTTGACGATCCAAACACTTTGGCCTAACGGAGCCAGCTTTTCTTGAGTTGACGCTTGAAGCCCGTATCTGTCTCTCATCACAACACAGCCATTGTTTTCTTGGAGCAGGACAAGAAGTGTCTGGGCTAACCAGGCATGTAGAAGCTGGTCACCGTGAGCAGTCATGTGGAGAACACTGCTTACCGTGAACAAGCCCCAGGGGAAGGGATCTTCTGCCTGAGTAAATGAGGGGCAAACTAAAGCCATGTCCACTGGGAAAAGGGCATCAAATCCAGGAAGAAAGAAGAAGCTGGGATGGAGGCGAGCCTCAGCAACAATTCCCCCTCCTTCCTCCTCTCCTCCCTCCCTTCTGCCTCCCCCCATCTCCCGGAACCTTTCTCCTGTTAGAGGCAGGGTCTCATTACGTTGCTCAGGTTGGTCTTGAACACATGATCTTAAGCGATTGTCCTGTATTAGCCTACTGAGTAGTCACTAAAGGCATGTGCCACTGCCCCCAACTTTCCCCCTTTTTCTAAAAATACAAAACCCAAATAACGGTTGTCATCTTGATTCAGCACACACACACACACACACACCCCTGATGAAACAAAAGTTTCACAGAACAATGTTTAGCCGTTTTACAGACAACGCATTCAGAAGTGTCCTATTCTACCTTTTATCATGTTCACACATCTGACAATCAGGGTAGTTGCTAAGCAATGCATCCCTGCGTGGCTACATCATCCCATCAACATCCTAGTCCCTCACACGGGAGGACAGCCTTGTGGGACCACTGTCCTCTCTCGGTACGTGACTTACTCTTTTATTGGAGCAGAGCAAGTGTACAGGAAAGAACTAACAGTTTTAAGTACGGGATGTGTAAATTTCTACATTGTAAACATGCTCATGTAATCTATATTATGTTCTAGCTTACCTCATTTTTATCAGAGCAAAATGTTTATAGCATAAAATTTGCCCCTTTAGCAAGCTTTACATAGACAGTTCTGTTGCATTAAGAACATTCACTGTTTTGGCCACCAGACCTAATTGTTTTGGTGAACGGAAACTCTTTAGCGACTGAACAGTAGCTCTCCCTCCGCTCCCCACTCCTGTAGTTAAGCGCCATTTTACTTTTGACCCTAGGACAGACATTTACTCTAAGAATCTCTATGAAAGGATGACACAGAGCCACACATTATCTATTTGTTATGGGCCTGGCATCAAACACCGTGTCTCTAATGTTCTCTGTGTTATGTATCAAATTTCCTTCCTTTTAGGGAGGCAAAATGTATTTTGTGTGTGTGTGTGTGTGTGTGTTTGTGTGTGTGTGTGTGTGTGTTTTTCTACATTTTGTTTCTTCATGTATCGATGGACACGTGACATGCTTCTGCTTCCCATGGCTACTGTGACAAGGTCATTGTGAGCACGTTTAAACAACACTACTGTGAGCACGTGTGAACAACAGTGCCGTGAGCACATGGACATGAACACCGCTGTAAGCGGTGAACACAAACACTGCCTTGGGCATGTGTATACGGACACCACCATGGGCACATGGACATGAACACTGTTGTGAGCACGTGTGAACAAACACCACGGTGGGCACTTGTACACGAACACCGTTGTGAGCACGTGTGAACGAACACCACCACGAGCACGTGTACACGGGCATGGGCATGTGTACACAAACACTGCCGTGAACACGTGTGAACAAACACCACGGTGGGCACGTGTGCACAAACACCTTCTGAGGAAAGAGTTTACGTTTTTTTAACTTAAGAGTTTAAGTTAGAGTTTTAAAGAACTCTAACTGGAAAGGATTCATTTAGACTGGGAAGCTGGATGGCTTACTTACTAAGCTCAAGAAATATCCTTTTAGGTGGAGAGCTGTTAACGACAGCATTAAAGGTTGTGTCTGGGAGTGGCAACAGTCTTGTGGATGAGCTTAGACGCAAACACAAACTGTGTTGATTGTCGGTGCCCTCAAGCTTTATTTTGAGGTCAGTTCTTTCCACAAAAGCCCTGGAGAGAGAGATGGTTCCCTACTGTCCTGGATGTAAATCAGCCTGTGCTGCTCGACCGTCCTGCCACAAAGAGCAAAAAGACTGACGGCCGCTGTGGTGACTGTTAGTGACTAAGTCCTCGCTTTACCCCAGGTCTCCAGCGTCAACTTTATTTACCTTCTCTCGGGATTATTGTCCTTAAATAGTC